TGCACACTCCCAAGACTAAGCCAAGAAGAAGTTGAAATCCTGAATAGACCAGTAACAAGGTCTGAAGTTGAGGCAGCAATTATTAGCCTACCAACCAAAAAAAGTCCAGCTCCAGATGGGTTTACAGCTGAATTCTACCAGACATACAAAGAGGGGGTGGTACCGCTCCCATTGAAACTATTCCAAACAATACAAAAAGAGGGAATCCTGCCTAACTCTTTCTTTCTTTTTTTTTTTTTTTGTATGTGTGTGCAGTATTTATTTCAAATGTTTGTTAAAACAGCATTGTTATTTCTCAGGACAAGAACAAAGATCACCACCTGGAGAAGCTTAGAAACTTTGTACAGAACTTTACAGAACAGAGGCAATACTTTAGCTTAAACTTGTCTGCTGACCAGAGAATGGAATTCTGCATGGACTCAGGGAACAAAAGGAAGCTAGGCAGGGATAAGGAAAAGGAAAGTGTCCATCTGAATCAAACTTCAGCTGCCATCAGGGCACATCTTGTGATGGTCAAAGATTGTAGGTTGTTTTCTGGAAGGCTCAGGTTCAGCACAGGATTCCATTTGTCCACTTGGCTACACCCCTGGCTGAGGTGCCATGAGGTCAATGTCACTCAAGTTCCTGGCCAGCCAAACTCCCGAAGCAAAGAGTCCCAAATTGAGAATGAAGTTCCTCTGAAAGTCATTCCTATCAGTGGCAAAGCGGTAGACACCCCGAAGCCAATCTCCCACGTTGTCCGGTATTTCGGGGGTTTCATTAGCCGAGCTGGCAGTGCTCACCGGGACCCCGCTGGAAGCCATAATAGGAAGCTTCGCACGAACTTCGTTGGAGGACCTGCCTAACTCTTTCTATGAAACCAACATCATCCTGATACCAAAATCTGGCAGAGACACAACTAAAAAAGAAAACTACAGGCCAATATCCATGAAGAACGTTGATGCAAAAATCTTCAATAAAATACTGGCAAACCGAATTTGACAGCACATCAAAAATCTTATCCACCACAATCAAGTAGGCTTCATACTGGGGATGCAAGGCTGGTTCAACATAGGCAAATCTATAAACGTAATTCACCACATAAACAGAACCAAAGACAAAAACCACATGATTATCTCAATAGATGCAGAGAAGGCCTTCGACAAAATTCAACAGCACTTTATGCTAAAAGCTCTCAATAAACTAGGGATTGATGGAATATATCTCAAAACAATAAAAGCTATTTATGACAAACCCACAGCCAATATCATACTGAATGGGCAAAAATTAGAAGCATTCCCTTTAAAAGCTGGCACTAGAGAAGGATGCCCTCTGTCACCACCCCTATTCAATATAGTATTGGAAGTTCTAGCCAGAGCAATCAGGCAAGAAAAAGAAATAAAGGCATTCAATTAGGAAAAGAAGAAGTCAAATTGTCTCTATTTGCAGATGACATGATCATGTATTTAGAAGACATCATCATCTCAGCCCAAAACCTCCTTAAGCTGATAAGCAACTTCGGCAAAGTCTCAGGATACAGAATCAATGTGCAGAAATCACAAGCATTCCTATACACCAATAACAGACAGACAGAGAGACAAATCATGAGCAAACTCCCATTTACAATTGCTATAAAGAGAATAAAATATCTAGAAATACAACTAACAAAGGAGGTAAAAGATCTCTTCGAGGAGAACTATGAACCACTGCTCAAGGAAATAAGAGAGGACACAAACAGATGGAAAAACATTCCATGCTCATGGTTAGGAAGAATCAATATTGTGAAAATGGCCATACTGCCCAAAGTAATTTATAGATTCAATGCTATCTCCAACAAGCTACAATTGACCTTCTTCACAGAACTGGAAAAATCATTTTAAACTTCATATGGAACGAAAAGAGAGCCCGCATAGCCAAGACAACCCTAAGCAAAAGGAACAAAGCTGGAGGCATCACACTACCTGACTTCAAACTATACTATAAGACTAGTGTAATCAAAACAGCATGGTACTGGTACCAGAACAGAGATAGAGACCAATGGAACAGAAGGTCTATATCTTGGAGGCAACGCCACACATCTGCAGCCATCTGATCTTTGACAAACTGGACAAAAATAAGCAATGGGGAAAGGATTCCCTGTTTAATAAATGGTGTTGAGAAAACTGACTAGCCATATGCAGGAAGCTGAAACTGGACCCCTTCCTAACACCTTATACAAAAATTAACTCCAGATGGATTAAAGATTTAAACATACGAACTAACACCCTAAAAACCCTAGAAGAAAACCTAGGCAAAACCATTCAGGACATACGCATAGGCAAGGACTTCCTGACTAAAACACCAAAAGCAATGGAAACAAAAGCCAAATAGACAATTGGGACCTAATTAAACTTAAGAGCTTCTGCACAGCAAAAGAAACAATCATTAGAGTAGACCAGCAACCAACAGAATGGGAAAAAATTTTCACAATCTACCCATCTGACAAAGGGCAAATATCCAGAATCTACAAAGAACGAAAGTAGACTTACAGGAAAAAAACAAACAAGCCCATCCAAAAGTGGGCAAAGGATATGAACAGACACTTTACAAAAGAAGACATATATGAGGCCAACAAACATATGAAAAAATGCTCATCATCATTGGTCATTAGAGAACTGCAAATCAAAACCACATTGAGATACCATCTCATGCCAGTTAGAATGGTGATCATTAAAAAATCTGGAGACAACAGATGCTGGAGAGGATGTGGAGAAAAAGGAACGCTTTTACACTGTTGGGTGGGAATGTAAATTAGTTCAACCATTGTGGAAGACATTGTGTGATTCCTCAAGGATCTAGAAATAGAAATTCCATTTGACCCAGCAATCCCATTACTGGGTATATACCCAAAGGATTATAAATTGTTCTATCATAAAGACACATGCACACGCATGTTCATTGTGGTGCTATTTACAATAGCAAAGATCTGGAATCAACCCAAATGCCCATCAATGATAGGCTGGACAAAAAAAATGTGGCACATATACACCATGGAATACTATGCAGCCATAAAAATCGATGAGGTCGTGTCCTTTGTAGAGACATGGATGAACCTAGAAACCGTCATTCTCAGCAAACTGACACAAGAACAGAAAACCAAAGACTGTATGTTTTCACTCATAGGCAGGTGATGAACAATGAGAACACCTGGGCACAGGGAAGGGAACAACACTCACAGGGCTAGGTTATGGGGTGGAGGGGAGGGGAGGGGATGGAGGCACAGCGGTGGCGAGTACGGGGAGGAGGGGGAGGGCTAACACCTGGAGAAATGCATGATGTAGACAATGGTGGGGGCAGGGGGATGGAGACAGTGAACCAACATGGCATGTATGTACCTATGCAAGGATCCTGCAGGATGCAGGACGTGCACACGTGCCCCAGAGCCCAAAAACAATAAAAAATAAATAAAAAAGAATTTTATTTCTCATTTAATAGTCTGATTCCTTTCTCAGATAATGCTGATATGTTGGTTCTTCGATGCTGCTGTTCAAGTGTCCCTAAAATATTAGCCTCATCTGCTTGGTCCTAGAGGGTTTGTCGCCATGTCTGAGTTCCAGGCAGCAAGATGGGAGAAGGCAAAGTAGAGCAAAAAGCATGTTATCCATTAAGGGACACAACCCAGAAGTTGCATGTCAGTTGTGTTCACTTCTACTTTTTTTTTTTTAAGACAGGGTCTCATTCTGTTACATAAGCTGAAGTACAGTGGTATAATCATAACTCACTGCGACCTTGAATTCCTGGGCTCAAAGGATCCTTTTGCCTCAGGCTTCCAGGTAGCTGGCATGATCATGGCTCACCGCAGCCTCAACCTCCTGGGCTCAAGGCATCTTTCCACCTCAGCCTCTTGAGTAGCTGGGACTACAGGTACACACCACCAGGCCTGGCTATAAATTTTATTTCTTTTTTTTTTTTTTTTTGGGACGGAGTTTTGCTCTTGTTACCCAGGCTGGAGTGCAATGGCGCGATCTCGGCTCACCGCAACCTCCGCCTCCTGGGTTCAGGCAATTCTCCTGCCTCAGCCTCCTGAGTAGCTGGGATTACAGGCACACGCCACCATGCCCAGCTAATTTTTTGTATTTTTAGTAGAGATGGGGTTTCATCGTGTTGACCAGGATGGTCTCGATCTTTTGACCTCGTGATCCACCCGCCTCGGCCTCCCAAAGTGCTGGGATTACAGGCTTGAGCCACCGCGCCCAGCCTAAATTTTATTTCTTAAGAGAATATAAGGAGTATGAATTTGGCATGCCAAAAGTTACGACTCCTTACTCTCAAATTACAGCTTGTTGGACTAAGCTGCTTGACTGCATGTTCAGTTGTGAAGAAGTAAACAAAAGCAACCTTATGCTGCATCAGCAAATGCTGAAAATGTATTGTCAAAAACTAAGTGTAAATGAAGTATAATTAACTGTGTTATTTATTTTATGGATTTTGCGATGGAAGCTCTAGTAACTTGCAAGTCCATTATTTGAATTTCAAAGATTTGGCCTTTGAATTCACTTAAGAGTCACCTAACTTCATATAAAAGTAATGAACAGCCTATCTGTATGGAAATTTCTGGCTTATTTGTTGTTCTGAAATTTTATGGTTAAATCAGCATTTCTGAGAAAGCTAGAGGCTTTGAGTAACCAGCTTTTCAGTTAAGCATACAATGTAGTGGATTTCAATACTTTCTAGATAGAGAACTCTGAGCCTTAGAAAGTACTTTGACTTTCCCGACCCGCACCAGCGCCAGCGAGGGAGGAAGAAGCGTGAAGAGCCAACAGTCATGCGGGTGTGGTGTGGCGGTGTGGCAGGTGTGGCGGTGGTGGAGCCGGAGGGCCCATCACTGGGCTCTGCGAGGTGCGAGAAAGCCTTTGGGTTGAAGATGCATGAAGGTCACCATGACAGGCATTTTCCAAAAACTTGTAGAAGGCTGTGAAAAAACCACTAGAATCACACAGCATGTATTGAGCATATACGTTGCTATAGATGAATGTTCTTAGCTTGCCTCAAGTGTGGCATGCAACATTTTGGAAAGAAAATTGAGGACTTATTCAAGAAAACATGAACAGAAGCAAATGATGAAATGAGTATTTTATTTAATATTGATAACATCGCAATACATTATGGAAGAAAAAAAGGAAGTACTTTGACTTTGAGCACAGGGAAGTCACGGTTGTCAGGCAATGCCAATGCTCACCTTAGTCAGAGCTGCTCTGGAGGGAAGCAGCATTCTCCAGTCTCATGGCCAATGCTCTGTTGCAGCACTGTCACCCCTGACTGGGAAGGGGAAGAAGAGTGCCGCCTGTGAGCAAGTGAAGGGCCAGGAAGTGTGGAGTCCCAGCCTGGGTCCAAGTGGCCCAGAGAAAAGGATGATCAGAAAGAGCAGGGATCTTAGCACAGTAGGAAAATGGAGTCACATGATACTTCTCTGCTCTGGTCCATTTGGGAGCCACAGAACCTCAGCAGATGGTAAGGGAGTGCCCGTGGGTGGCTATCTCCTACAACACTAGAGCCACTGCGGCTTCAGGTGTTTGATGACACACCATAACTAAGTAGCCATACGCCTGGGCTTCTTTGAGGAGTACACCAAACCTCATCCATATTCTATTTCTTTATGTTCCTTTTTTTTGAGACAGGGTCTCACTTTGTCACCCAGGCTGGAGTGCAGTGGCACTGTCACACAGATCACTAAGCCTCCTAGCTTAAGCAATCCTTCCATCTCAGCCTCCTGAGTAGCTGGGACTGCAGATGCATGCCACCATACCTGGCTAACTTTTTAATTTTGTGGAGACAAGTTCTCACCATGTTGCCCAGAATGGTCTTGAACTCCTGGCCTCAAGGGATCCTCCCACCATGGCCTCTCAAAGTACTGGGATTACAGATGTGAACCACCATGCCCTGCTCATGTTTATTATAGTAGTCTACTATAGCCCTCAGGTACCTGTAACAAATATGGGATGCTGTGGCTTTCTTCTGGATCCTGTAGCAAAAAATTTTTTTTGAGACAGAGTTTTGCTTTTTCGCCCAGGCTGGAGTGAAGTGGCATGATCATGGCTCACTGCAACCTCCTCCCACTGGATCCGTGTGATTCTCCTGCCTCAGCCTCCCCAGTAGCTGGGATTACAGGCATGTGCCACCACATCCAGCTAATTTTTTTTTTTTTGAGACGGAGTCTTGCCCTTGTCACCCAGGCTGGAGTGCAATGGCACACTCTCGGCTCACTGCAACCTCCGCCTCCTGGGTTCAATCGGTTCTGCCTCAGCCTCCTGAGTAGCTGGGGTTACAGGCGCCCTTCACCACACCTGGCTAATTTTTGTATTTTTAGTAAAGATGGGGTTTTACCATGTTGATTAGGCTGGTTTTGAACTCCTGACCTCATGATCCACCTGCCTCAGCCTACCAAAGTGCTGGGATTACAGGTGTGAACCACCTCACCAACCCTTTTTTTTTTTTTTTTTTAAGCCACTGAAGGCATTTCTTTAGGCTAAGCAATAAAGGTGAAAACACCATCTCTGGAAGCTTCAGTCTTACTAATATATTTCCAGACAGGGGAAAGAAGTGGGTTGTTATATCTCCAGTCTCCTTTATAGCTTTTTTTTTTTTTTTTTTTTTTTTTTTTTTGAGATGGAGTTTCACTCTTGTCACCCAGGCTCAAGTGCAAATGGTGCAATCTTGGTTCACTGCAAACTCTGCCTCCCGGGTTCAAGCGATTCTCCTGCCTCAGTCTCCTGAGTCTCTGGGATTACAGGCACCTGACACCGCACCCAGATAATTTTTATATTTTTAGTAGAGACGGGGTTTCACCATGGTCTCGAACTCCTGACCTTAGGTGATCCATGTGCCTTGGCCCCCCAGAGTGCTGGGATTACAGGTGTGAGCCACCACACCCAGCCTTAGTCTCCTTTATCTCTTAACCATTTAAAGCTGACCTGTTTATCTGATTAACTGGTTGTCACATTAGGAGTAGGAAAAATGTGAGTTAATAGCATCTATATTTCAGGCTGGAACAGTGAGACAAGAAAATCAGCAACTATGCAATCTGAACAACCAGGGGCCATTTTTAGGGTGTGAACTGAGGAGGGTAGGGTCTGGGTGTTGGGTTGCATGAAGGAGAGCCCCAGGTGGCTGTGCACCAAAGAAGCTGGAGTGGCTCAGGAGCTTTATGGAGTGAAATGTCTTCCCAAGCCTGCTCCTTCTCTGACACCTTTTAGGCTAAGAACGTCTGGGTTAGAGGCAATGTACACTATTAGGATGGTGCAAGTCACTGTGGTCTAAGATATTAAATATTTTTTTCCTCTAAGGATTCATTACTTTTTTGAGTTAATTACCACATTACATTTTTAGTATCATGACCTTTAAACGAATATATTATGATGAATTATAAATTTGCATTAAGCTTTTCACAAGATGGTGCCGAAAGCGAAGAAGGAAGCTCCTGCCCCTCCTAAAACCGAAGCCAAAGCGAAGGCTTTAAAGGCCAAGAAGGCAGTGTTGAAAGGTGTCCACAGCCACAAAAAAAAGAAGATCCACAAGTCACCCACCTTCCGGCGGCCCAAGACACTGCGACTCCGGAGGCAGCCCAAATATCCTCGGAAGAGCGCCCCCAGGAGAAACAAGCGTTCCTCTCTCTGGACTACAAAAGAGAGCCCATCTTTCTATTGGTTCCAGGCCAGGTGACCCCATTTTGCCTCTCTCCCAGACTGGACCACTATGCTATCATCAAGTTTCCGCTGACCACCGAGTCTGCCATGAAGAAGATAGAAGACAGCAACACACTTGTGTTCATTTTGTGGCTGTTAAAGCCAATAAGCACCAGATCATACAGGCTGTGAAGAAGCTCTATGACATTGATGTGGCCAAGGTCAACACCCTGATTCGGCCTGATGGAGAGAAGAAGGCATATGTTCGACTGGCTCCTGATTACGATGCTTTGGATGTTGCCAACAAAATTGGGATCATCTAAACTGAGTCCAGCTGGCTAATTCTAAATATATGTATATCTTTTCACCATAAAAAAAATAATAATAAATTTGCATGAAAACTTTTATACTAATGGATATGGGTAAAGGTAAGACTTTCATTAGCTGAGTACATCTTTTTTTCTTTATATTTCTCTTTTTCTTCTTTTAAGTAACTAAGCCTTCACAAGCTTAGTGTATCTCTGTGAGAGACCTATATCTTTTGAATAGTTTGGATATTTAATGATATGCCTCCTTATCCACCTTAACGTGCTTTTAAAAAGCCCATGGCATTTCTTTCTTTCTTTCTTTAAAAAAATTATTTATTTATTTATTTCTGAGGCAGGGTCTTGCTCTGTTGCCCAGGCTGGAGGGGATTGGCATGATCTCTGCTCATTGCAACCTCTGCCTCTTGGGCTCAAGCAGCCTTCCTGCTGGCGTGCCACCATGCTTGGCTAATTTTTGTTTTTAAAGATTTTTTTCATAGACACAAGATCTTGCTATGTTACCCAGGCTGGTCTTGAACTTTTGGGTTCAAGCAGTCCTCCTGGGCTCAAGCAGTCCTCCCACCTCAGCCTCCCAAAGTTCTGGGATTATAGGCAATGAGCCACTGTATCTGGCTATTTATTTATTTATTTATTTGAGACTGAGTCTTGTTCTGTCACCCAGGCTAGAATGCAGAGGTGCAATCTTGTCTCACTGCAACCTCCACCTCCCAGGTTTAAACGATTCTCTTCCTCCTGAGTAGCTGGGATTGCAGGTGCCTGCCACAATGCCCATATAATTTTTGTATTTTTAGTAGAGATGGGGTTTAACCATGTTGGCCAGGCTGGTCTTGAACTGACTTCGTGATCCTTCTGCCTCTCCCAAAGTGCTGAGCTTATAGGTGTGAGCCACTGCCCTCGGCCTATTTCTTTCTTTTTAAAATTTTACACTTTTTATGTGAATATTTTTGTAATCCTTCATGGGATTGAAGATAGTTCCTTTAATAACGTAAGAGAAGCTCTCAATTAGTGGAGAGTACACCGGACCTGGATTCAGAGGTCTCAGGTTGTTGTCACACGTTCTGTTGGAATGATTTTGTTGTGTTTTTAATAAATTGGATACCTAGTTAATAATTTTCTATGAGAAATGCCCCTTCACAAGGATCAGAATGTTCATGTCCATTGATCAAGAATCGAATTCCAGTGTCAGGGTATTGAGGAGTAGGTATAATGTACCTGATGTAATTTCTCGTGATCTTAATTCTTCTTTTGTGATGTGAGAGGCTTGGATAAGATAACCTTTAAGATTTCTTTAATTCTAAAAATTTCTGTTCCATGGCCTGTGTCATGGAAAGGGGAAGCAGCACGCAAAACCTAGAAAGTAGGTGGGTTCCATGCCAGGCACCACGGTAAGCATTTAGTGTGCATTATTTCATTTAATCCTCATGACTGATGAGGTAGGTATTATCATCCCCTTTTTACTTATTTATTTATTATTTTATTTTATTTTTTTGAGACAGAGTCTCACTGTGTTGCCCAGGCCGGAGTGTAGTGGTGCGACCTTGGCTCACTGCAACTTCTGCCTCCTCGGTTCAAGTGATTCTCCTGCCTCAGCCTCTCAAGTAGCTGGCACGTGCCGCCACGCCCAGCTCATTTTTTGTATTTTTAGTAGAGACGGGGTTTCACCGTGCTAGCCAGGATGGTCATCATCCCCTTTTTAATATTAGATTGGTGCAAAAGTAATTGTGGTTTTGTCATTAAAAGCAACTAAGACCTACAAGCATTAGGTAACTTGCTTAATTATCCCACAGCTAGTGAGTGGCAGAATTTGGATCCTGAATACAGGTCTGTCAGGGTCCAGAGTTTGGGGGCTGAGGTGTGTGCTGGCTCTTTAATGGTCATATAGCAGCAGTTTTGAGGAACATTTATTTAAGAGCAATAAACAGGATGGAGGTTTTTTTGCTTCTTAACAAGTTATGTATTCGTAATAATTCTCTAGGTATTTTGTATCCATACATTATTATAAGTATATAAAATTTGGGGCCAGGCGTGGTGGCTCACGCCTGTAATCCCAGTACTTCGGGAGGCTGAGGTGAGTGGATCACAAGGTCAAGAGATAAGACCATCCTGGCCAACATGGTGAAACCCTGCCTCTACTAAAAACACAAAAATTCGCTGGGGGTGGT